TCTTCTTCTTCTTCTTCTTCTTCTTCTTCTTCTTCTTTTTCTTTTCCTCCTCCTCCTCCTCCCCCCCTCCCCCTCCTTTTCTTCAGCTCTGGGCCCCTCCCTTGTCTCTGGGTACCTGGGTCATTGTCAGGCAGATACAGTTTCTTTTGTCCTGTTCTAAAATTATTGGAGTGGGGGAGTTCATGTGATTTGTATGCTGCCAGGTAATTATGACTGGGGAGCCCAGGAGATTGAGAGTGCAATTTATTTCCATCACCACCAAAAAAAAAAAAAAAAAAAGGAAAAAAAAATCCCCACTCTTCATTTGGCTGGGGAACGGGGAGAGTGATGGTGAAGATAGGCCGGGAGAGAGAGAACTCCAGACCTGTGTGCCCAAAACTTTCACAAATTGCCCCCACAACCACTGGGGGGGGGGGAACCAACCACCACCATAGCAAAAGGAAACCAAAGAAAATTCAAAATTTGGACTTTCCCCCAGAGAATCTTGAAACATGGCAAATTTTGCTAATGCCCTGTAAAATATTAAAAATAGAATGTCCTCTATTCTCTGCTTACCCAGGAGCATCCCTGGTTGATCGCAATGGGGATGTTTTTCTCCCCATTATGTCAATCTTTCCACAGTCATGGGGTCTGGGGAGAAGAGGGACCACAGCAATGAACGAATGATAATGTATTTTAAGACAAAGTGGTGGGGATGATTATTTTAAACTGAGCTAGCGTTTGCATGGTTGTCGTAGTTGTTTTTAAAGGACACTTCCCTGGGATCCGCTTTTGGTTCCGTTCACAGGTATCATCAATAAACAGAGTTCTACGCAACCTGGCTAGCGAAAAGCAACAGATGGGCGCAGACGGCATGTATGATAAACTAAGAATGCTGAACGGGCAGACAGGAAGCTGGGGCACCCGCCCAGGGTGGTATCCGGGGACCTCTGTACCAGGGCAACCTACACCAGGTAAAGCACACACTCGGAACTCGCGCTCTCCTTGTACCCAGCCTGGTTCCCTCTCCCTCCATCTCCCCCCACCCTGTTTTTTGAGCCGGGCAGAAGGAACTGTCACAGAAAGAAAGCGGATGCCCTTGAGCAAAGCTAAGGCAGGCAAGAGGCCAGGACAGAGCTCGGCTCCAGAGCTGCTCCTGGCAAAATGGGGCAACTTGAGCAAAGGGCTGAAAGGCGGGTGCTCGTGGAGTACTTGCCTCTAGGGGAAAGGCAGGAGTGGGCTACAGAAGCGGGATGTGTTGGGTTAGCTTGGGAGGAGAAGGGAGGGGTGAAGAGAGAGAGAGAGAGAGAGAGAGAGAGAGAGGACAGTTCATGTGAGTGTGCGTTTAAGAGGACCACGTGGTTCTCTATTTAAATTTCCATTAAAATGCATCGAGAGCCCCCTTGCTGTAGGAGTGTGACAAGTTAACATACTGACAGACTGTGAGGTAAACATAATTGTATCATTTTGCTTTTTACAGTAATTGACAAATTATGTGACTGTGAGTAGGGAGCATATGGAAAGATGCGGAGGGAGATGCGGTTTGGGACTTGCGGGATTCAGAAGCCAGTGGAGAAGTAGGGAGTGTGAATTTGTTTTCCTTTAGTTGAAAAGAACACTAGTCCCATACCTCTCAGCCCCAACCCTATTGCGTTCTCTCTCATTCCCCACCCCCATCTACTCACCGGGTTACTGCTTTTCTTAGTCCTTTTCCTAGAGAGGGAAAAATTGTGGTAGAAACCCACCTGTGTCTGCGGATAGATTGATGGAAGGCTTCTACTGGCCAATTGGAGCCTGACCTTTTGAGGAAAGGAGGGTTTAGTGGAGGTACTGACCTTTACTGAGTGGGGCAGAGGAGCAGGGAGAGAAGGGGGCACCCAGTCTGAAACCAGGAAGAAAAAGTGGGAGAGGCGCAGATTTCGCGGATCTTTCCAGTTTCTGCCCACCCCCCCTTAGGTGGACTGAGTTCGTTTGGCCAAAAATAGAAAACTGTTTTCTCCCGAAGATTAATCGGGATTTGTTGTCCCTGTGACAGGGAGATAATATGTGGAATAATGGGACGTGGCGTCTCACTCCCCGGAACATGACCTAAGCCCGGGGGGCTCCAGGTCAGAGGAGGCTGGGCTGACCTGGGCTGGCTAGGCAGGGGAGTGGCGCCCTCCGGGGAGCTAGCCAGGCTGGTTGTCCCACGAGCCGCTTTGGGGGTGCCTCCGCCCTCAGAGGGACGCGGAAAGGGAACTAGAAAATCAGTAACAGTATGCGAAATATCTGCTACAAAGGATGCTTCTGTCACTCGGAAGAATTTGTTACGGGGACAATCCTGTCGCTATGTAATTGCTCATTAGAGAGCGTTTTGTTTCTCATTAAGGCGACATGAATAAGCGTCTAGTTGAAGGAGACAGCTGTAGAAATGTTCCACAGGAGACCCCTGGACACGCTGTGGCGCCGCTTGCCAATTAGACGTGGCAGCTTTAAGAGCAGAAGACAATATAGGAAGGACGCTGGAAAGATAGGGAGCAAGCTTTCACTTTTTTTTTCGGTCTACCGTCTCTACCCTTTGAGGATCGGAAGGCCTTAAAGATGGGCTAGGCTCTACTTGACTCCACTCACCCCCAGCAGGGTTGGCAATACTCACCCCGGCTCCTTCCCCCCCTCCACCCCCGGCCCCCACCTCCAGCCCGAGATTCGAACCCGAAGGACACCTAGATGATGCCGGGTCTGGGCTGCGCGGCCAGGAGAGGCCGCTCTGTTTCAAAGCAGGGGAGTAGGAGAAAGGACAGGAAGGAAAGCCTTCTGCCCCAAGAGCCCCTAGCTTCCAGCTCAGTCCGCCAGCCATCTCGTCTGCCTTGAGGGGTTTTAGAGATTTCTCACCACTGACTTCACCGGTGTTAAACACCCAAATCACAATCGGTATCCTGCTTTTCTTTCCTTTCCTCTCCTGTTTTGTCTTATTCTGTCCGCTCCCCTCTTTCCCTCCGTCCCCTTCCCTTTCCTTCCCCTCACTCTCCCTTTCCTTCCCCTTTCCTTCCTT